AAAGAAAGAAAGAAAGAAAGAAAGAAAGAAAAGAGAGAAACGTTTTGTTTGGTTTTCTTTGATGTCAATGAATCCCTCACAAGTAAAAAAAAAATCCATAAGAAGGTAGAGAGCAACAAAAAAAAATGAGAGAAAGGCCCAATAAATACAAAAAAAAAGAAGAATATATTTAAAACAAAAAAAGAGAAAAAAAAAGTGCAAGAGGATACAGAACAGGACGCAAACAAAAGAACAGAAGATATTTAATCACACAGAAACAAACAAACAAACAAAGAAAAAAGAAAAAAAAGGGCGCAAGCATAACACAGATCCTCACAGAAAGATAAATATTCAAATGTATTTGCACTTATTGAAAATATATGCGTCAACTGCACATGTACTGACTCCTCCATTTCTGACACATATTTGCAGATTTAATTCAAAGTTCTCCCACTCTGTAAAAAAAAAAAAACAAAAAAAAAAAACAAAGAGGACGTCTTTTTTAATCCCGGATTTGCACAGCTCCTTCTCTTACAAATACCAAGGACGAGGGGGAACAACATCTACACACAAGTTTACATTCCAACAAAAAGAAGAAAAAAAAAAAACTCTTTTTTAAAAAAAAGTATCATAATAGAGAGTTTCCAAATAATGCAATAGACAAACAAAAAAAAAAAAAGAACCCACAAGATGAACAATAACTGCTCAAGTAGAGACAAACAAGAAGCAAAAAAAAAAACCAAAAGAAAAAACACACAGAAAAAAAAAAACAGTTAAATTCATATACACATTAAAAGAAACAAAGAAAACAAAGAAAATAAACCTGTCAATGCATTAATCTTGAATGAGTAACCTCCATACACCCCCCCCCCTCAAGTGTTCCAGTAAACAAAAACCACATTAGTAATCCAACTAAAGAGGGTTATATACACGTCAAAGATTTCACACTGATCCCATTCCTCTCAGAATGGGGGCAAAAGAAAAAAAAAAAAGAAGAAAAACAATCTTTAACAATATTCAAAGTTTTTTTTTTCCCCCTTTTTGTGTGTTGTTAACAACCACAAAAGTATTAAACATATAATCAGTTAAGTTTTCTTCTTACCACCCCAAGAAAAATGCAGTAAATTTTTCCACGACTTCCCATGCCTAGATGGTTTACTCTCATTTGCCGTAGTCAATCTAGTTGGCAATGACAATGGTGGTTCTATTGAATACGATGATAACACTGGTTGGCCCTCCACACTGCTGCTTGCACCTGTGTTTCCCCGCTGTGGTTCCCTTATAGTCGCACACCTTACGCGAGACTGGGCTGTGGGTGTTGTTTCGCGTTTCTGTGTATTTTTTTTCTCCGCTGGTGAATGTCTGGCTGATTCTTTCAACGTCTGCGTGAAGGGATTGGGGTGTCGTGGAGATGATGCTGCTGAATTATCATTGGTGGGAGAATTAAAGGCCAGAGAATCAAAGGTTGGATGGGCTCTTTCAAAAGAGAGTTCTTGCGTTAGCCATGCAGATTCCCCAATTCGTCGTAGTGTCCAACGGTGATCAGGATCTTTACAGAGTACACCGCGAATTAATTCTTTGAATTGACGAGAAGAGATGATTTTGCAGTATTTAAATTCATTGTCCTCATCTTCTCCCTCCTCAACCGCTTCACCTTTATCATTTGGAGCCTCTTCTTCTATAAGATCTTCATATTGGGGATTATCCCATCGTTCATCATTGTCTTTCCCATCATCATTAGACAAAGCAGAAGTTGACATTCGTTTCACGTATGTTATGATCGTAGAAGTCGAACCAACAGAACCCCGTTTTTTTACATCATCTGGAAATACAACAGGGCAATTGACAATTTTGCGTGTCAAATCAAGTTGAGTGAAGGCACGGAAAGGTAGAAAACCGTACATGAGTTGATACAGTGTAACTCCTAATGCCCACACATCTACTAATTCCCCTACGACTTCCAATTTGCCGCTACACACTTCAGGTGCCATAAAGGCTGGTGTTCCCTCCACACCGGCGACACCCATACCACTACTTATTGCGCAAACTCCAAAATCAGCAAGGTATGTATTTCCATTTCCATCAATTAATATATTCTCAGGTTTTATATCACGATGAAATACTCCTCGAGAATGTAGACATTTTATAGCAGAAAGAATTTGTTTCGTATATTGACGCAATTGCGCCTCTGGAATAGGTACTATAGTCGTTGTTGTTACACTTCGTGCAATAGTTCCACCAGAAACATATTGTAATATCAAAAAAATTCTTTTATGACATTTATCGCCAATAACTTCATGAAGTCTTACAACGTGAGGATGGGATACTCTCTTTAAGACTGCAATTTCAGAACGAATAACTTTTAATTGTCTCTCATTCAGTTTCTTTCCAAATTTTAAGATCTTCATAGCATATAATTCCTTTGTCTCTTGGTGTTGAACCAATACAACCCGACCATGTGATCCCCTTCCGATATTACGCAACACCACATAATCATTTATTACTTTCTTACCTCCATTTCGACCAAATACCGTTTGGTCCGTTACCTTCACACGTGGTGGTGCTTCTGTGTTCGTAATAAGAGTAGAGAGTGAATAAGATGCTCCCCGTGGGAAGTATGTAGTACGTCTTATCTTTGCTGAATTCGAATCACGAGCACTCCTATCACACTGACTACATGAGGGTTTCAAACGTGCTGAGCCCGAGAGAGTTGAACATATAGATAAAGATCTAGATCTAGATTGAGAACGTGTATCGGAAATCCCTTTCTCTTTACTTTTACCTTTAGGCAGGTTGTTTTCTTCTTCTGGAGACGTTCCGTTAGGGACCAAAAGATCATAAAACCATGTATCTGTGCTTGCATTTAGTGTATCTGAAGCTGAAGTGAGAAGAGTGGATCCCTGTGATAATGGTGATGTAATATTTAAAATCGCATCTGCCGCTTGGGGTATTCTTCCACGTGAAGGTGAATCAGCGGCAGAAAACATTGCTGGACTTCCTGAAAGTGATTGAAAAGGTGAACACTCTAGTACCTCCACAACTCCTCGTAATCGTTCTATAGAGGAAGCCAAAGCACTTGCACCTGCAGAGCTGGATGGGCTCATCTGACATTCTTCTAATTCACTTAGTAAAACTTCAGCCACTTCTCTAAGTAAACGTTCATATAATAGACATCTTTTACAAGGAGGTGTACTCTTTTGTAATGTCAATAAAGATTCAGCGGTTGGTAACTTTTCTTCCGTCGTAATAGCGGCAAGATCTCTCAAAGACTTGTAACCGAAGGGATTAATAGCACTTTCTAGGGCAAGCTGTAAAGATCTAATGAATGCAGTTTCATCACCCAAATAATTTGAACCATCAGCGAGAGTTTCAGCAGCCAGTGGATTCTCACAAGAACCCGACCACGGCATTTAATGCTGCCAATGATAAAAAAAATAAAAATAATCTGTGTTTGACTTCACTAAAAAAATACAAGTTCTTTACACTATTGTTATTTCAATATAACGATAATAATAAAAAGAATAAATACAAATAAAACAATCAAGAAAAAAAAAGGAAAGAAAAAAGTGGAATCATTTGGACAGATTTTTTTTTTTTTTTTTGTGTGTATATATGTATTATTTTTTTTCTTTTCTTTTTTGTATAAAAGAAATAAAACGACACAAAAAATAATATATAACCACGTTTATTTTGCCTGGTTGATGATTGGCAAGAAAAAAATAAAAATAAAAATAAATAATAATAATAATAATAATAATAATAATAATAATAATAATAATACAATAATACAATCGCTACTGTATAGGAGCCTGGAGTTCTCGTACTAGAAACTCCTGCAAACCCACACTCATACTATCCACACGATCCCCTTCTGTCCACGAAGAAGAAAACGGCGATGTGAAAGAACGTGTTGGAGTGGAGTGATGAGAGAAAAGACGACGACGACGATGCGTGGGAGAGTCCACTTCCCTCTCCAACTGTTTACGTAATCTCTGAATGCTTTGGTGTAGTTTCTCAGAGGAGCAGCCGTCAACATTCCCCGCAATGACTGGACTAATAACAGGTTCTTTTGAGAGAAACTGCCGCCGTGAGGGGCTAATCCCCTCTTCCCCTCTCTTCTCTAATCTCACTAATGTCTGTTCGGCTAAAAGTAGATTCACCTCTCGCACAGTCCGTTGTAACTCGGCGATGAGATCATCTCGTGAACGTATTTCTTCTTCATACCACTTGATATCAACATCATCACGTCGTCTTTTTGTTAATGCGACTTGGTGCTCAGAAAGATGACGCTGCAGTCTAGACCGTTCCCGTTCACTTTCCTCCAAACGGTTCATACAAAATGTCAAGTCATTTTGTAATATTGACATTTGTTTTCGTACAGCCTTAGAGTCTTCCATTATCTTCCTTAGTTGCACCTTATCTTCTGCATTATTTTCCTTCTCTTTATCTCGTTCTTCATTTATTTGTCGTAGTTTTGTCATCAATGCAATATTTTCACGCCTTTGTTTTTGAGACTCTACCGCTTTAAATGCATCCTTTCGCTCTCGATCTCGAATTAACTCTTGAATCATCAGTTGTTGCGCCTCTATTTGATATCTACCTAATGCGATACGAGTTTCATAAAGTGGTTGGGCAAAAAGACGGGAGAAACTAGACCATATAGAGACTTCCTTTTGAAGAAGTAATTCACTTGTTCGCAGGTGAAGTATTTCACTCCTGCAATCGCTAAGTTTTTCAACTAACAATTTGTTTTCAGATTCCATCTGAGTACATTTGGATCGAAGCTGAAAAGCGGCTTCTTGAAGTTCCATCAAGTTAGCAGCTGTGAGTCCTCCTCCTTTTAAAATCGCTGGTATGTGAGGCTTCAACGACGATGAGGACTTTAACCCTAATACTGAGCCCGTTTCGCTTTCGGAGTTCAACATCTTTTTTTTTATTATTCTTTTTCTCTTTATTATTTACTTTTTTTTTGTCGTTCTCTACCTCTTGGCCGATCCTCTTCTTGTTTCTTTTTTTTTTTTTTTTGAATTTGCTCTTTCTTACAGTTTATGTGTAAAAGTGATTGATTGAATGGATATATATATATATATATATATATATATATGTATATATCCCGTCAATATAACCTCAATCTTTCCAATGTGTGGGAAAAATCAACACAACACATAAAGAAAAAAAAAAAAAACGAAAGCGAAAATAAAAATAAATAAATAAAGAACGGGGTCTATAAATGGTAAAAGGAGACTGGGATTCTTATTTTAAGAATCATTCATTTCCTGGTCATTTTTATTTATTATCTTTTTTTTTTCTTCTTGTAATTCAATAGATGTAAAAATTCCAATATTTACCCAAGAGGAAGAAGGTTGTGAATATTGAAACTCTTTCTCTCTTTCTCTCTCTCAGTCCACAATATTCCCTATGAGTAAATTCATTAGCAATACACTCCACTGATCATAAGTGGCACCTGGAGAGCAATAATGTAAGCAATCCGTGGCATTCATAGATTCATACTTTGGATGATATTTTCCCATGTGTCCTAATGGCATTAGATCTGTCATTGGAGCCACATCCAGAATGTGAGCCCCCATATCTTTCCATAAGGCTGTGGTATAGGCATTCCTTGCAGGTATCGCATACCATCTATACCTTTCGTAGATTCCCTCTTTATATGCATTTAATGTCAGTGGAGTGGTGAGAGGTTCTGTGTATTGCCAGCAAAAAGGATGACCACGAAAAGTTGTTCGCCAAATAACAGTTCCTTTATAAAGACGTCTTACAACACTTGCGGCTCGTCGCATGTAAAAGTAATAATTTTCATCCGTTATTCTTCGTCTCTCATTTTCCGGCCGAACCATCCAAGATCCGGAGTTTAAAATAAGAATAGGATAACGATGAATATCTTTCCACCATAAAAAGTTTCGGAATGAGTGATAATTCGTTTCTAAAAATTGATTGGTTAGAAAAAAAATCTTGACAGGTTTATTATTTATACGATTGGGGTAATATTTTTGACAGATCACATGTCCTCTACAGCGATGGCGAGTCCGGGAAGTGCCCTCGCGCTCGTAAATATCTCCTTCACCTCCCAGAAGATAATAGAGAGAAGCATGCCAATGATCGGAAAGACTGTCTCCAACCATCATGATACTCCTCCCGCGGAGAGAACGGCAAAAAAGTTCCTCATCCCACGGAACTAATTCACAACTATCGGGTTTCCATTCATATTGTGTTTCATTTCGCACAACATCCGGACCAAATTCTTTTCTAAAACCACGTTCACAACATCCCAATACAGTTCCACGTGAAGTATATTGAGGTCTCTTGCTGCTGTTGTAAACCCATTTTCCTTTTGTATACAAAAGTCCATCACAGGGACGTGATGTACGATGCATGGGATTATATGGATTGCGATAACGATATGGTCCATCTGTGTAGTTAAAATGAGGCAACTCCTGTCCTTCATGTGGACCATTTGGAGAGATAAATGGTGTTAGATTTCCTGGTATGATACCATCAATTTCCTCTTGTCGTAAGGGTTCGTATAATATGGATTCTTTTTCTTGTGGAATATTTTCAAATAAGCGACGTTCTTGAGAGACTTCAACGTGTGTCTCATCAACTACTTTGCCATTCTCTATCCATAATAGGAGCAGTAAAACTATTATGATACTAATAGCAATATAAAGAGTTATACGCCGTCTCCGAAACCGTCCCGCTTTCCCCAATGGAGGCATTTTCAACAGAAAAGAGGTGGGGAAAAAAAAAAGGGACCGCTCTACAATATTTAAGAACGAGAAGGAAAAAAATAAAAAAGAGACAGAGACACTTACATATGCAAAAAAAAAAAAAAAAAAACATACAGAGTGAGGTGTATATATATATATATATATATATATATTTATATATACCTAACAAAGAAAGAATCGCAAAAAAAAAAAAAACTTCAGACTTTTTGTGAGACCAATACACTGGAACTTTAGAAATGGTGCTCTCTTGGAGACCAAATGGAAAGCAAAAGTAACTTCCAAACGAGCTTCATGCGAGGTATATCATGGTAAAAAAAAAAAAGGAAAAAACAAAAAACAGAACGTATATGGCACCATTATGATGGTGTATTTGTTTGTTTGTGTCTTTGTATGTGTCTGTAAAAATTGGCAGCAACAAATCAGCTCACCCTATCCTTCTTTCCTTGTTCGTTCTTTCACTGTTTTTCTTTTTTTTTTTTTCTTTCTTTCTTTCTTTTCCTTTCTTTTTTCCTTTGTTTTTTCAAAATGCTTGAGAGCAAATAATGGTAACAATACAGATACCACAAAACCACACACAAATTAACCCACGACCTCGTTGTTCCCTACAAAGCAACTCTTACATAATTGAGCAGCAACCGGAGTTAGTCTGTTTCGCTTGTTTGTAGAATGTTTTACTTGCCATTCCAAGATCCTCGCTTTTGGCGACAAGGTCATCAATCTTTTGTCCACGCTCAATAATTTGATCAATAGCATTATACATAATTACTTTGGTGTCCTCTATATCCCTTTTTATTTTAAGAATCTTGTCTTGCTCTTCTGGTTTTTGGTATTTTATTAAGGTCTCTTCAAGGTATGGCCAGTTTAGAAAATTATCTTCTTTTCCCTCAATGATATCATACTTTCCGCGGAATGTAGTTTGAAACTGTTGTATAAGTTCCCCAAGAAGAGTGAAGGCTACACGAGCGTTGTACTCAATATCCCCAATGGCCAAAGCAACAAGTCCATCCAGTGTAGAATGTGCAAATACAACATTACCATTCTCAGTAATTTGCGTCTTAGAGCCATTTGAAACTCGTTTTGCCACTGTACGTGAGAGAAAAACTAAAAACTCCCTGGCGGAGTTGCGCTGGAAAAAACCAAATGAACTGACATCAATAGCCTCAGAGCATATCACAGGTTCTTTATCCACGCCTACAGGAAATGGCTTCACAATCATTAAAGCGTAGAGCTTCATGGTGACACCTCTTTTTTTTTTTATTTTCTTTTGGGAAGTGAGGTGGTTTTTATTTTAAATATCTTTCTTTTTTTTTTTTCTTCTTAAAAAGAAAAAAAAGAATCCTTCTTTGATTAGGGTGTTTGTATGATACCTTCTCAGTAACTTTGAGTTCCTTACTCGCTACAATAGTGCTAGATGAATGAGTCAAAGAAAGAAGAAAAAAAAAAAAAAAAAACAGGTCCTCTGCACCCACGAAAACAGCATGCTATCCACACATACACACACGCACATTCAAGCAGACAAAGTGAGATAAAGGGAAACCAAGAAAAAAAAAGGATTTTTTTTTTTCTTTTTTCTTTTTTCTTCTCTTTGAAGAAAGTGAGGGTAATAATAGCAGAGTACTCCTATGAATATAATGATGTATTTGACGCATTTTCCTTGTCACAACGAAGGAATGGGAGGGTAAGAAATAACAACAAATAAATAAAAAATAAAAAATAGGGCTAAAAAATTGTGATCTGTTTTCTTTCCGCTTTGTTTTGATTACCAAAATACTGGCTCAAAACAGCTATATCACAACATGAGATGAAAAAAAAACCCTTATATAGGTGTAAACCTTAATATAAAGAAAGGAAATGTTTTGTTTTTTCACTTTGTTTCTTTTTTTTTTTTTTTTATGTGTACACCATACATTTATTGGTGACGACTCTGAGATACTCTCAGGACAGGTGTAAATTGGGGTGGAATGCCTACCCGTTCGCCTGTTCTTCGAACTGTAGGACTGTCGTAGCTGGAGGGATTGTATAAATCATGTACACGATTACCGCTTCCCTCTCTCGTGGAACCCTCTGTCGATAGTGTCAAATAGCGAAGTCGGGCCTCTTCCATACTTAGTAGTTCCAATCGTTTGCGAATGACATCCAACTCTGTGGGCGGTTGTAATAAGCCCATTCTTTCCACTGGACGTGACAGACCCTGTTGATTGAGAGCTGCTAGGCGCGCCTCCGCCTCAGCTTGAGCACGCGCGGCAACTTGAACAGCTAATTTCACTTCTGCAGAGGGATCCCGTTGAGCCATTCTCTCACGAAACTCTCTTTCCTGTCTGAGAAGTGCAACTTCCTTCTGTAGTTGCTCATTACGCAACGTTTCACGTTGTAAAAGCCAGTTGTACTCATAGAGTGTTTCTGCCCGTTCCGTCTCTCTCTGTCTTACTGCGTATTGCAGGTCTTGTATCCCACTAACAGGGGCAGGATTTCCTGCAGTTACTGGTGGAGGTGATAGAGGGTCTTCACGTGGTGGCATTGGCCCTAGTTCACCATATAATACACCTATTCCACTAGATCCTTCTTGGCTATACGCTCTGTTTCCTGAGTTACTTTCCTCTCTAAACACAGGGGAGCGATCGTAGCTGTAGGAGTGACGTCTCTGGCTTGGGGGCAAATTGCTGCCAGTGTCATGTAATAAATTGGAGAAATTCTTGTACTTCTCAGAGTGAAGAGGAGACAAAAAAGAAGACTTCGAATCCGACATCATGATATTACGTTGATAACGAGAACGATGAAGTAAGACTGAAGAACTATCATGCGGTAACTGTAATAACTCACGTGGTGAGCGTTCTTGCAGCAACTGTGAATAACGGAGTGGTGATGCACTCTTTTTAGGTGAAACATTTGCTACAGTAGATAATTTTAATACTTCCCTCGTTTGAGGGATAAGGTCTGTTTGTGTGGTTGCATCTTTTGTCTGGGGATTCATTTTATTCTCTCCTCTTAAAGAACAAACAGAACGATCTCTCAACTGCATTTGAACTGTCGATGTGAGTCGTGCCACTTCACCGTCTGCATCACTCTCTACATAATCTGATACACGACTTCCATCAGCTGTCAATTCACTTAAAGGTCGAAACAAGACAACAGAAGAACGTCCTGACGCTGTCCCACCTGTTTTTGTTTTACTGATGAGGTGATCCAGCATCCATAACTCAGGCACTTCCGGTTTCTTATCAAACAAGAGATCCACAAAATTACGCAAAAGGCTATAAATTGGGCTGCTGCGCGCTACATCTCGCAATAGTGCAACCTTGGTGGGATCATCTGATGAAAAGGAGAGTATCGGGCTCGCTGGGAGTGTCCCAGTTAACTCCTTGCTTAATTTAGCCTCGAGCTTTGCCCACATGAAAAGTAACGGATTATCAGGTTTGCTCTCAAGAAGAAGCTTTGCCCAGTGGCGTAGGACTCCCTTCGCAGGACCAATCTGAACCCCTGAAGAAAGACGCTCCTCTGTGGTATCACCAACTGGTGCGAAGGTAGGGAAGACACCAGAAAGATGGTTACTGACGACACTCCTCTCAAGATTTGAAGGAGTCGGGGAGGGACCCAGTTTGCCTTGTAGGTGTGACCATAAAAATAGTTGAGGTCTATTTGGGCGATGACAAAGCAAAAAATTTGCAAGTTGCAATAGCACTTGATAGTGCAATGGTCGATTCTCCGCAGCAGCAGCCAAGCGATGGGCCACTTCTCCTGGGGTGTGTTGCTCTGCATCAACACTTCTCTCTTGTCTCGCTGCCACACCAATAACGTCAGGGACCAAATTAAGATGTACACGGTGTTCACTGTCTACAGAATTAGGAGAACCCATTCGTCCATTTCTATTTTCTTCTGCAGCATTACGAGTCCCTTGGGTAGAAAAACTAACTAGTCCGTCCCTGGGAAGCGTATTATATGATAAAGAATCCGAAGACACTCTTACCCTATAACCATTCGAACGCCTCCTGGTCTCTTCGGTATTACGCCTAGCCTCTTCTTCAGCCTTTTTCCTGGCCTCTTCTTCAGCCTTTTTCCTGGCCTCTTCTTCAGCC